CCCGTTGTTTTTGGACCTTGTCGAGTCAAGCAAAATACGACGTGTTGTCAGGTGTGAGGATCGAGAAAAAGATGGCACCAGAGGCCACGAACCCGACTGATATAGGTTCGTTGGGAATAAATGCAGAGGGGAAAGTAGGATAAAAACAAGGGAAATACTGACTGGGTGTTTTGGGTGTTTTTCCTTAGTAGGATAGGGCCCGTGGAAGGCAATGAGCTTCCCTGAAATAGTAAACGGGATAAGCATTTGTTGTTGCCGTGTTGTAATCTTGTTTTTGTTATTTGGGGATTGAGGAATGAAGGCCAAACCCTCTTCCTCGAAAAGAAAAAGGCTACGGGAACATTGTCGGTGTTAAAGGGAGTGAGAGAATAAGCAACCATTGTAAAAGAGGAGGTAACTTTTTCTTCAAAATTTCTAGAAGTTGCAGGGGTAATGGTATGAAACGAATGGTAAGAAGAAGAAATGAGGTAAAAGGGTTTAGAGTGACTATTTAAAGTGAAGGCTAGGGCAGCAAATCAAGGTCATGTGTCACACAACATAATGTGTTTGTGCCAAAAAGTAGGAAAGTTAGTGGGAGTTATTTAATTTCCCATGCCCTAAAAACTAGGAATTATCATGAGATATGATTGATGGACATGGGGAACTGTTGCGCAGAAAGTGGTCATAATTACCCATGACGTCATTCTGAGAAGACGTGTCATCAAAAATACCACTAGATGAAAATGCCAAAGTTTTCCATCGACGGGAGTCTCTGTTGAACTTGACATTTTGGGGGGCTATTTGTTGACAAAGAATTTTCGACAAGGGAACAAGCCTGAAATGAGAAGGTATCTTCTAGATGGGAAGGCACATTAAAGACTTCAAAAGAGGTGTCAATAGGGTCTAGTCGACGAAGTTGTCAATTGAGAAGAATGGCTCGACGGGCCTATTGAACAACATGGCGAGGTTGTCGACAGGCATGCCAAAATGGCGCTAAGAGAAGTTATGAGTTTGCATGCTAGCAAGAACGTGCGGGAAGTTATGAAACTTTTCCACATGAAATCCCAACATGGAATACTGTAACCGTCGACGATTACGTCTCTAGAATTTTCTATTTAAGAAAATAATTGTATTCGTTCTAGAGGGAACATTTCTTAGCATTAAGAGCATTACACTCAAAGTACCAGCATCTAAGAGAGAAACGAGTTCACGTTTGAAAATATATGAGTGCTTCGACATTTCAATTCAAAGCAATTTCCAGTTTTTACTTTAAAATTCTTGTCTTTTTTTTAATCTTTATTTCAACAATTGCCTTGTTCTTTTGCTTTTTCTTACGCTTGTCAAATTAATCAACCAGTTTCACACAAAACTCAAAACACTATGTATAGAATTTCTGTAGCCGATCCTGCAAATAACCTTTAATAAGAGGTTAGAGATTGTTCGCGAGAAACAATGGTATAATCCATAAGTTTAATCTCCATATAATTTACACAATTTAGTATATCCTCTAGTTCTTATAGATTATACCTGAAGTACTTTTTCTTCATTTATTTGACATTTATTTTGACCTTTTAATTTTGTTAAATGTTTGTTCCGTCACTCAATTCCTCTATCTTTAACAAATTTTCACACTTCAATTGGTATAATCTCTTAAAAGTTTGAGTAAATGTTTAAAAAATCAAATAGGTCATCAAACTAGTGAGAGTACTGAGTCACTAGTTCATTGGACGAATCACTGGGTCACTAGTTAAACTGCATGACTAAATCAGATAATTCGATTGAATAAATAATTTTCTATAGCAAAATTATATATTTATTAAATTGGTCGAACCAAATGACTCGGTCTAAGAAATATCACAACACCTACAAAATTTTAAAATTTCAAAATATTATAATTTCACAAACTCATTTTATAAATTCAAATTCTAAACATAGTCATCACACACAACAAAATAGTATAAAATACAAATCCAAATAAATTTTGAACGAAGTCTAATTGTAAACAAAAGAAAGTTGTTTCAAACAATTTTTGAACAAAATTTACTTATATATTTATTTTATTTTATGAAAATGGTGTCATTTTGTCTGGAAAAAAAAAACATACATTTAACCCATTGATTCATTGACTCTACCCGATTCTCACTCGTTCAATAGCAAACCCGTTTCAATGATCAAATCAGACATGTGTCCTCTTTGATTCCCAGTTCAACTGACTGACTCAATCCGATTTTTAAAACATTGTTTTGAGTTCTTGCTCCACTCACCGTCTTTTTAGGGTCGATACGTTTTAGCTTTGAAATTTTTTTTTTTTTTTTAATTTTCAAAAATGATTTTTATAAAAATATTTTTAAAAATATTATGTTTTAATTTTTTTTTTTAATTAAAAGATTAATTTTGACATTCTATAACATAAAATATATATTATTGAAATAAAAAATAGTTGAAATCACAATTTTTAAAAAAATTATTCAAAAATAAATTTTTATAAAAAAATATTTAAAATAACTTAAAATTAAATAAAATATTTTAAAATTTTAATATGTCCCAAAACAGTTTTTATAAAATAATAAAATTTAAAATAATATTTTAAGAATAACAATTTATACTAAATTTCATTCGAAATTTTATAAAAAATCTGTTTATAAATTTGTTTACAAATTTTTTTACTCAAATATCTTTAATACTAAAAATTTCATTTTACCAACACATTTTTTTACTCTTGAATTTAGAACTTCTTATCTACGACATCTCTTTATCTACTTTTTCTAATATCTTGAATCATCTTGTTTTTCTTGATATTTGAACTTTCTTAAGATTATCTGAACTATCTATTTCTTTATAATGAAGAATTATATATTCTCAATAAATCCATCACAATTTGAATATAAAATTGGAAAAAATATACCATATCCTCTGCGGTGTGTTAAAATTACACTGACATCTCTTCTAATTTTTAAATATATAATAATCTCTTTTGAAGTCTATTAAAATAATACTGACAATTCTATAATTTTTAGTGACAGAAAAAAATTATATATATAAATAATATTACTTACGATTTTTGATCTGTCACTATAATTTTCATTAATATATGTATGTTTAGGAAAGACGAGTGCATGCTTTAAAACTAAAGAAATGTTGATATTTTTTTAACAAATCTTAAAAGAAGATGAGTGTAATTTTCTCTACAAAATTCAGCTCAACCAAACGGATAAACCTTGAAGATAAGAGTAATTAGTATTTAGTACTCTATTATACTATGTTATCCACTATCTCCAATTTTTTTTAGTGGTTGGAATGTATCCAATTTTTGTTGTGTTATGGAGACCTTAGTCACATGGTCTAGTCTTTTTAGAAATAGGAAAAGGTAGCCCATAAATATTTGGCAACAACTTTTTTTCACAGCTAAAATCACTTCATAGAACAAATTTTACCGACTGAAAGTAATACTTTGAGAGCCTTATATGAATATATTTAGAAATGTGAAGGGTAAAGAAAGCCTTGGAAGATTTTAAATCTACTCTCTAAAAATGTGGAGGGGCAATCAGAAGGATTATTCTATTTAAATACACTATTGAAAAGACCATTTCAGTAATAAATAAAAAAAGTGAAATTTAAATAATAAAGAAATGAATTGAAAATCTCCCAAAAAAAGAAATTCCTAACCAACCCCGCTGGTCTGTCCCCATATGAAAAACTTTACTAAAATCAGGTTTACATCAACCAATAATAAACAAAAGCACCAACCCATCTAATTGTCTCATTCTTGGTTAGCATACATCATTCAACCATAAAATTTAAATAGAAGTATATGTATGACCACGACCCACAAACTAACACATATAGTATAAAATTTAATACATTTAAACCGTGGCTAAAACGAATTTTAAAAAATATTTGTCATGATTAAAATATAATAAAATAGGACTTTTATTTGTTTCGCTATAACTAAATTGTAGTTAACTATGACGACTCTTATGTGTTCTTATGTGTATGAGAACTAAAAATTTCATGTGCACTGATTGCCTAAAGAGTCGAGCTTGATGGGAAGCATACATCATTCAAACATACAATTTATATAGGTTTAGCCAAGTTTTTGGTCCCTTGTGAAAGGATTTGGATTCTCTACTATTTTTTCTCTGCTGCCTCTGTTTAGCACTAATTATATCCTTTAAATCTTATTCTATATCTATTTATCTGCTAAATTATTATTCTTTTCTTTCATATTGACTAGTAGATTTGGAACAACATTGAAAGCTGAAGAGAGAAAGCAGGATTGGATCCATTTTGGAATTGAAATATTCATTTTGGTCTCATTACAAACTTTACACCACATTTCTTTAATGGTATTTGGTGTAAATTTGACTGAAGGGACCAAGTGGTGGAACATTTCTGACGTGTAGAATCAAAATGCAACTTTAAACATATCATAGACCAAAATGAAACATAAAATAAACCCAAGGAGAAAAAATCTAATTAAGCCACTAAAATATGGAATAGAGATGTGACCACTGCATGACTATTGCACCAAGCCATTTTAATTTTGTTAGTCTAATAGTAGCAGCAAAAGCTTGTATTCAGGTATTACCCACCCTTTCATCAATTAAATCACATATTTTCTTCTATTTTTCTAATACTTCAACCAACATAGATAATCATGTATCAAACAAATATTCATGATTAAACAATGCCCAATAAATTTAAATAGAAATACTTGGTTTCTTGCTACTGAGTTGCAAAGACTTGAGAGAAACAACTACAATTGATAATTTATTTCTATACATAACTTTAAAATTACACAACTATTGCACAGAAGATCAAACTTATGCCCTTTACAACGATTATGACCTTTCAACATTGTAATGGCATCACTCATTCTAATCCAAAAACTGACTTGTACACTATAGGGAGAAAGAAAAGCAATGGGATGAAGAAAAAATGAAGTGAACAGAACAAACATAATTCAGACTCAATAAGTTAAGGTTGCTACCTCCATACCACATGCTGAGCAAACATTGACCTCACATGACAATCTCGGGTTTCAGAATATTTGTCTTAATCTCCTTGTGGGGCAAAACAACACCTCCATTGCTGTAAATCTCGTCACAAACATGAACATCTTCCCCAAGGATAGTCATATTCTCGACTCGAGCCCATTGTCCAACGGTGGAATGCCACCCTATAATACTGCTGGAAATGCAAGCATGCTTCTTAATCCGGACTCCTCGCATTACTGTGCAGCGTGAGAGCCTCACACCAGACTCAACAATGCAGCCAGGACCGATAGCGACATCAGGTCCAATGAGACATCCCTCACCAATTTTGGCTGTTTCATCAACAATGACATTCCCCACAATGTTAGAGCCAATGGCCAGCTTAGAAGAAGACTTCTTCCTCAATGACTCCAGGTAAAGCCTCAAGCCAGTAATATAGTCCCTCGGTTGTCCGATGTCCATCCAGAATCCAGGAAGGACCATTGCATATAGCTTTTTCTCTGCAGCAATCTTTGGGAAAATTTCTTTTTCGATAGAAGTGGGCCTCAGTTCAATGCGATCCAAAACTGATGGGTTCAATAGGTAAATTCCAGCATTGATTTTGTTTCCAACAAACAACTTGGGTTTTTCAACAAATTTCTCAACCTGTCCCGTGGTCTCCTCCGTTACAACAACACCATATTTTGATGGCTCGTCAACCTACAAAAGTTAATGCAAAACAAATGATTACATGCTCCACCTAGTATATTATATACAGTCTCATAAATTTGCAATAATTTTTGTGTTACCTTTGTAACCATTATGGAAGCCTCCCCTCCATGGGATTTGTGGAATTCAATCATTTCTTTAAGTGGATAGTCACTGATAACATCACTGTTAAGAACAAAAAATGGCTCTCCAGATTCATCTATCAGCTTATCCCTAGCAAGAGCCAGGGGACCAGCAGTTCCTAGTGGTTCGGTTTCTTGTGAACAACTAATCTTAATGCCTAATTTTGCTTCAAAATCCTTCAAGAAATTCAACATAACCTGAAGTAGGAAGTATTACCAAAGTCAAAATAAAGAAACTTGAGCCACATGAAATCTCATGAAACATTGATTAAAACAATGTTTTAAAAAGAGGCGCAATCCTTTTTACCTCTGGTTGGTAATTGATGGCCAGTACCACTTCAGTGACTCCAGCGGCCTTAAGAGCCTCTATCTGAAAAGCAATCCAAATAAAAAATTAAGAAAGTAAAAGATATGCACATATATACATGCAGCATGCACAAATAAAAAAAGTGGTTTTCCTAATGTATAAAACCGAGGAGTTATAAAAAATTTGACGCGTCCCTGTCATGTAGAAAGAAAGACGTCATCTGCTGCATTAAGAAAGCATTCAACAACAAAGCATATCCCTGATGTATTCTAGAACATAACAGATATAAAATTTGCAGGAAAAGAAAGTTTAGAATAGCTTTACCTGATGCAAAATCATGGGTTTGTTAGCAAAATCGACAAGAGGCTTAGGGACACTGAGTGTCAATGGCCTCAACCTAGTTCCAAACCCCCCAACCAGAATCAATGCCTTCATTGTGATAAGCCCTTTGTTTTCCTGTGAGTTTAAAATTAGAAACAGATCAATATAAGCCAATAGAGAATACGATCTGAAATATGAGTAGATAGATTCCACCGAGTCCTATATATATCGATGCCAGGATCGAAAGAATGACTTTCACCGAATACTTAAGTAAACAATTGGCAAATTGATCATGAACAAACGGGTGTTCTATTGAGCATGATACAGATCAATTTACGTGTCATCTAATGAATACAAAGTTTAGCTAAATATCAAAAACAAAAACAAAATCCAGCTAATCAACCACAAGTTTTCAATGAGAATGACAAAAGAGGATTGAATTCTGACGCAGGTTGCACCATAAATGGTGTCAAACAAATGCGTCAATTAAGGTACTCGGTAAGATAAATATATGCTGTTCAACACGCAATTTAAAGTATATACACATCCATTTACCAACAAATGCGTCAAAATTAAGGTACTCGGTAAGATAAATATATGTTGTTCTACACGCAATTTAAAGTATATATGCATCCATTTCCTTCTTTCAAAATGAAGAAATACTTCATATATACTTCGTGCATGTTTGGTTGGCTTTTGAAAGGACCAAAAGCAATTCTAGAAGTGTAGAATTGATTCTGAGTGATTTTGAGATGTTTGGTTAGGCAAAAGTAGAATTGATTCTACCTCCAGAATTGATTCTACTTGAAGCTAGAATTTGTAGCTTCTGCCTCCAGAATTGATTCTGGATAATTTTTACACTGAAATTTATTATTCAACTCATTTTACATAAATATATCCAAACATAAATCAATTCTGCTAAACTCAATTCTAATGAAATCAATTCTACCAAACTCAATTCTACTAGAATCAATTCTGCCCACTGCCAATCCAAACACACCCTTCATATATCTTCATATTGCTTCGAGTCAGTTTGAATAAACTTCTTCACAAACTTGCAGGGAAAGAAATATTAAAAGAATCTTATAATAAATAGAACTATTTAACCAATAGCTTCTCCTATAAGTTGAAATTAAATAGTGAACCTCAATTTTTCGCAAGGTTTCTCATTTAACTTGTAAAAACACCTATACACCTATTAACCACAATTTTTTTTTTCAATTGAGAAAATTCCATAAACTATAAGGTAATCCAAACTGAGTCTCTAAGAGAATCAATACCGACATGTCGATACTCGTAATAATTGAAAAAAATGAATAAATTAAACGCAATCACAAGTGTCTGTATGACACAGACACATTTTTTTTCCAGAGATGTCAGTGTTAAAGAGCATAAGTTTAATTTTTTGGTTACATATGTAGCAGGTTCTTTCATAATTTTCAGTAGAAAATACAAATCTATCAAGAATAAAGTAAGAAATTACTACTAAACAGGTAAGTAAATCAATAAACATAAAAGCAAAAGAAAACAGAGAGAGACTTCAGCAACACAGCACATAATCAGATCTAATGAAAATCGAAGTTAAATCACAATTCCATAAAAAAACAAAAAATCGTCAACTCAGCATTTCGATTACGTAATCTGAATTCAAAACCACACACGTACATTCATTGATTAACACAGAGAAAACAAAACAAAAAGTTAGCGGGAAAAGTGTGTAAAGCGAAGCGAAACGGAAACTACACAATGAGAATTACCTCGGTTGCAGAGGAGTTAGATCCGGGTGAGAATTGAAAAACAAGATTCAGAAATGAGTTGAAGTAAAACCCCGACCCGGACCGAGTCAACACGGCGAGTCGGAATTTGGAAGTAGAAGAAGAAGAAGAATTAGATTAAGAAGAAAATCCCTCAATTTGGTGTGATAGATCACGGTCTTTTTATATACAACAAAACACACGCGCCAACCATGTTAGTAACTACCTTTTCTTATTTATCCATTCATTAAACAGATTCATTTTTTATTTATCTTCTAAAACTATAGTAATAATTTCTTACTCACATTCTTCCAATCAATTTACACAATAATATCTTGATTAGTTATATATAAAATATTATTTTACACTCTTTCTATACTATCTTTAAATTCTTTATTTTAATATACTTAATTGTTTTATATAATTAATGTAAAAAAATCTACATTGTCAATTAATTATAATTATTTAATATGTTATTTTACAAAAAAGATTAAAAGAAATTGAAACATTTTTAATAAATCAACAATTATGATGAATATATCAATTAATATTTTATGTAAAAAAATGTATACAAATCAAGTTTGTATTTGATTTTATTTTAAAGAAGTCAAAAAGAAATTCTAAATGTAGAAATGTTTTTTATATATTTAGTTCTTTTTAAAATATAATTGACTTTATTTTTAAAATTAATTCTATTTAAAATTAAAAACTAATATTTTATTTTTAAAATTAATTTTTATAATAAATTTATATTCAACACACTTTTTACATAAATATATTTAAATATAAATTACTTTACATTAATTTTTAGTCAAAATAAATTTTATACAATTAATATATTTAAAAATTGTTTACGTTATCACAAAATTAAACACATATTAAACTTTTATTTAAAATATACATTTTAAAATTAATAATAAATAGAACTGTTTTAAATTTTTGAATCATTAATTAATCTCTTTTTAACTATGATAAAATGAATATATTTTTATTAACGGTGACAAATATTTTATAAAATTTTATTTAATAATATAATTATGTTAATTTTTAAATCTTGTATTCTAGCATGTTTTGCAGCACTAAAACACCACAGTGTCAATAATATTTATTTGTACATGAAACAAAATTTTCTTTTTTATATTTATTTAAATCATATATGTAAATATTTATTATTGAACTTTTATTTTTTATATTTTGAATTTCATTTACAAACGTGAATAAAAAAATTATTTTAATATTTTGTGGTGATTCTAAGACATACAAATAATTTAAAAGTGTTTTAAATGATAAAGAAGTTTGACATACAAATATTCTATTTAGGTATATTCCTTTCTCAAATAAAGAATATTTCAATTAAGAATAGCAATTGTATAAAAAAATTGAATAAATTTTTTTAGGTTAAAAAATTGAACAACTTTAGAAAATAGAGATTTATTTATTCATTATGAGTGGATTTTGACATAAATGAATTTGGTACTAATATTTAAATAAGAATCTGTGGGCAAAGAGTTTTCCCTTATGTTACGGTGTCGGTGATGCTTCCTACGTTGTTTCCGATTGTGGCCACTTCTCGTGTTTGTACCTTTTTTACTTGCCAATTACGATTGTGCTACACATGTCATGTCACAAAAAGTGTATCTTCTTTGCCACTTGTGCTCGAAATTTCCTTTTCCTTTTTCTTCTTGTTTAGTTTATTTATTTATAGTTTTGGGATTACGGTATATATATATATATATATATATATATATATATATATATATATATATATATATATATATATATATATATATATATATATATATATATATATATATATATATATATATATATATATATATATATATATATATATATATATAGTTTTATTTTATTTGTGTATCAAACTGTTAAATAGACTGATCTGACTCGATCCGTTTCAGTTCAGTGGATCAAAATATTTAAATGGATTGGACCAACTCAAACCAATTATTTAATGAGTTATAGAAAATTAGTCTGACCACTTTATCAAAGACCTATACAACTTGATTGTAATTAAATATTATAGTTTTAATTTTATAAAAAAGATGTACTAGATAAAAATTACATAACATAAATAGAAAGTCATCATAAACTTAGTTAAATGATGTTTAAAATATTTATCAAAACATATATCATCATAAACTTAGTTAAATGATGTTTAAAATATTTATCAAAACATATATCATCATAAACTTAATATTATCACCAATACTTATCAAATTTTCTCTTCCTCTCCCAATCATTTCCTTGATCGCATCATCTTAAAAATATGTTTTCATCATTTTTAACTTTTATTTATCACTTGAAAACACACTTATACAATCATATCTTATCTTAATCTTTTTTTCTTCAAAATTGACCAAAATCTTTTTTTAATAGACCAGCTCGATGTCCGTTTGGATCGGCCCGGTCCGGCCCATGAAAAACATAGGTCCGATGGATTGGGCAAAAAAACAGGGTCCTATTTTTAAAGGTATTTTGTGGCCCAGCCCGTGCTAAGTTATTGGGCTTATGGATCGGCCCGGTCCCGTGCTAAGTTATTGGGCTTATGGGCCGGTCCGATTGATCGGGCCTATTTTAACAGCTCTACAAATAGGACACAAGATCATAGAGATTAGTGTGGACAAATTTCAACCGACCGATGTACTGTTTTTTATGTAAATGGATCGGGTTATTTAATTTGGATAGTATATAATTAATTTGGTCGTGTTCGGATAATTATTTTGGATCCAACGAAAATCGAACCCGATCGAACTTAACTAATATTTATTTTATATATTTTCTATTACTATAGAGTCGAACTATTATAAAAGTGAAATTCATAATGTTATCAAGTTATTATTCTTTTTAGGGTTAAATAAGTTTTTGGTCTCTCTAAATATCTCAAATTTCGTTTTTGGTTCCTCTAAAATTTTCCTTCAAAGAATGATCCTCCTAAAAAATTAAATTTTAATTTTTGGTCCCTCCTGCAATTTAGCGACGGTTTTTACAACTTTGCGCCGATTTTAACGACGATTTTTATTTAGCGATGAAATTAGAGACCATTTTAGCTACGATTTTGTCAAGAGAGACCAAAAGTTAAAATTAAATTTTTTTAGGAGGACCATTCTTTGAAGGAAAATTTTAGAGGGACAAAATAAAATTTGAGATATTTAGATGGACCAAAAATTTATTTAACCCTTCTTTTTATAATTTAATGATGACATTGTATACTCACAAAAAAATACAAAACATACCATTTAAAATTAGACAAAACTTAGATACAATTCTTTAGGTGTGGTTCTTACTATTTTCCAATGAAAATATGACAAATATATTTAAATATCATTTAAGGAGTAAAAATAAGAATAACTTGTATATGTGTAAGAGGAAATAATACATTTGTCATATTTTAATTAGAAAATACTAAGTATCACACCTAAAAATTTATACTCAAGTTTTGTCCTTTAAAATTTTGAGTGTTATTTAATTTGTTGTTTAAAGTATGATAACTAACAAATTGATATCAAATGATATTTGAAATGTTATAACGTGATAATAACATTTTTCGATAATAGAAAATAGTTATTCTTTGAATTATTCTAAAATTTTGATAGTTTTTTTATTAGAAAAAATTAAAAGATGAATATTTTTGAATTTTATAAAAGATGATTATTTTTATAGATTTATTCAAATAAATATTAAATCGACCAAACCAACCTATTTATCCGCCAAACCTACTAAACCGAATCCATAAAAAACCAAAAAAAAATCGGTCGAAATGGGACTTTAATAATGAAATTGCAGTTTGCGTCAGATTTAAGTTTTTTGCCCGATTTTGATCCAAATTGATCGATTGTCCACCCATAATATAGATTATGATTCTCATGCAAATAGGAAAGTTACTCAAATGGTATATTCCATTTGGTTTCCAATAAAAATAACATATTACTCTCTCAGTCTCATAATAAGTGTACCATTTGTATTTTTTTTTATGTCTCAAAATAAATATCACTTTAGAATATCAATACAACATTCATTACTCCCTCCGTTTTTTATTATAAGTCGCTTTGGAATAAAAATTGTACCACAATATAAGTCGCTTTACAATTTCAATGAATAATTAATGATATTTTTCCTATTATATCCTTAAATATTTATTATTCTCTCTCCTTTCAATTATGTAAATTTATCTTCCACATGTCACTAATGAAGAACAATTTTGTAAAAACCTTCATAATTTCTCATTTTCATACAAAAATCATTATTTTTTTAATATGTGTGAAAAGTCCAAAATGACTTATAATAAAAAACGGAGGTAGTGTTTTTTTCAACAACTATACCTTTATTTACTAGCTTTCACGCTTTTCAACTACTCTACTAACTATAATAAATAAGTGTATTTTAGTAAATGATATTCATTTTATCATTAAAATTAACACATCTAATCATTTTCTTAAGAACCGCGTAAAACACAAATGAGACATTTATTATGAAATGAAAGGGAGTAATAGAATTACATATTGCCTTCCTAGATTTAGCATTTCTTGGGTTTTCTGATTTTTATGTTTTACATCCTCTTTTCACACTTTTTTTTTTACAAAAACAAACTTTAACACATTTCATTGATAAAAAAATGTTCAATACAAAGAGGAACCACGTGAATAAAACTACGCCTAGAAT